TTTATTCCTCTATAAATACATGCAATACTCAAGTGCAAAGGGCACGGAATTTTCCTCTCAAGAACACACTCCAAATTTCTCAAATTTTGTCAAAACTAGGGCAAACACAAACCCCTGTTTCCGGCCACTCTCAAGCGGTTCCAAGCATTCCATCACACTCTTGAAGGTCCCAGGAGCTTGTTCCAATCCTTACTCACGCTCAAGATATCACAGAACGTGCCAACCAAGTGGCTCTGGATTGATTTGATGCAGGTACAACAATCAACTATTGTTAGGGCAATGTTTCGATGAAGCTGCAGATCCATAGCTGCGTTCACTTTTAGACCAAACTAACCTCACCACCAGATTCGCAAGGTCTAAATTAGTGGATCTGAGTGGTTTGATTTTGTTGTTTGAATCTTTTTATCAATAATCAATTTTGACATTTTTTAATTAAATTTAATTAACATTTTTCTTTATTAAAATTAATTAGAAACAAGTAGGTTTTAATTATTTAATTAATATCAAACTATTTTCCATAAAAATACAAAAAAAAAATATTTATTTTGTAACATTTTCTCTTATTTATTTTTTGCTATTTGAAATTTCTAGAGAAATTGTATAGGTCGCGCAGTTTAAATGTAATAACTTAGATTTACATTCTTGCACTTTTTCCTAATTATGTAACTGTACTAAAGCCCTGTAATAGTTGTAGGCCTTTACTTTCTCGCGCTTTACTTTCCGCACCTTTATTTTTCTGCACTTATAATTATATGCTTGTATATATAACTGTTAGTAAATAGGCTTGTATGGCAAGATTTAAAATCAACCGCTAGATAACCCTAATCAAGACAAATTAACTGAAAACAAATCACTTTTCACACACGCACCTCTAAGGTGACTCCACTTGTTGCCTTCGGAAAAAGGTCATGTCCCTCGAACGTAAGGATACCATTAGCAAAGACCCTGAGTTAAAAATCATCATAAAGATCATAGTCCCTCGATGACCCTTCAAAGTTGCCTTCAGTAAATGATCTTGTCCCTCGATATTGCCTACGAATACATGATGATAGTCCCTTCGAATTGCTAAAGGTATCCTTATATGTTGCCTTTATGATTGTACGATGACCCGCGCATGTCCCTCAAATATCCAACGATAGGGCTTCCTACTAACTAATGGTAGGATGGAACTACCTAAAGAAGGAGGAAAAGAACAAAATACTTTTGAGTAGATAGATAGTTCTTAATCGCTTGACCGCAAACATTTCAAAATATTTTTCACACAATACACTTCTCTTCTGAAATATTTTCAAAAAACAAACACTTTGTATATGTTCTCAATGATACGCGAATCCTTATAAAGTTTGTCGTACTTAGGTATTTTTCAAAATATTTTCAAAACACACAAACACAAAGCATTTTCAAAAGTGAGCTCGCGATTAAGAGTCTGTAGATAACTACGGATGAAAAGAGTGCTAACACCTTCCCTTTTCATAAACTACCCTCTGAACTCAGAAAATTATCGAAGGTATTTCCTGTTCTTTTCACCCTTTCCTTTATTGGATAAAAGAAAATTCGGCGGCGACTCTTGCTATCCGTAACATTTGCGATAAAACGCAAAACCAAAAAGTCATTCTTCCACCGTATTACAATTAGCCTTAGTTTTACAAAGTGAAAATAGATTACAGTAGGTTGACATTGGTCCCTGTGGGTTAGACAATCTTTTATATTACTTTGATATTTCCGTGAACTTGCGGACACATCACTTTTCCCTCTTTCCTTTTTCATCTCAGCATTCAGAGACGTTTCAACTTTCATAGAAAGCGCATACATTCCTCAAGTGTTTATCAACTCTAGGTATTTTCCCTTTTCATCTTTACGCGTTACTTTCGCCTTTTTTATTTTTAGATAATAGTTATCATAAGAGAATGAGATGATGAGGGAAATATTGTAATAAACCCAAAATTTCCAAAGAGATGAGGGGGTTATGGGATCAATGCATGTGGGAGGTCAAGGGTACCTTAGGTCAGGAGGAGTTTGACCGAATCACAAAGGAATTTTATGGTTGTACCTTCACTTCTTTGAGAGATTCTGACTTTGATTCTTCCTCCCCAGGTTATGTAGAAGTCTTGATGGAAATGTCTTACCCCTTCGATCTTGAAGTTATGGGTTATAAGAATAACTCGCTTGACGACGAGGAGATCACCAAACTCCGATCTCTGATGAACGTTTCATCGATCAGGGAGGAAGATAATGTTATTCTAGAGTCATGTATCTCTGGAGAACGGATATGCATTCTTCGTCAGAAGGTTATTGATGAAGAGTTCTTCTATTTTTATTCTGTGGTTTTAAAGGATTTCAAGGTTCGTATACCCTTTTTCAATTTCGAGGTGGACATACTGAAGACTGTGAATGTTGCTCCTTCTCAACTTCGCCCTAACGGTTGGGGCTTTATAAAGACTTTTGAAATGGTCTGTGAGGCGGTGAACATTATCCTTACCGTGGATCTATTCTTCTCCTTCTTTGAGTTCAAAGTCAGTGGTCTTGGGTCCAAATCAGTGGTCTCCCCCACAAGAGCTTTCTCCAAGTATATACCTCTAACTATAAGGGTTTCAAAGATCAGGTTTTGAAGGTGAAGTGTGGGCAGAGATACCCCCAGGTGCTATATGCTTTAGATGGGCACCCACACTTCCCTCTCTACTGGATCCGAGATCCTTCACTTATCTCCGACTTCAATTTTGATAAACTGAGCGACCTGGAGGTCCAACCTTTGAACGTGCTTAACTCCTTTCGAATGATGAAGATCAAGGATTTGTTGCCTCTAACCGCAAAACAGATCCCATATTTTCTTGGTAATAGTTTTTTCTTCTGATTATCAATTGTGCATATTTATTGGTGATGCTCATACTACCTTTTTTCTTTATTTGCAGATAAGATGACAAATCTTTATGTGGCCGAGCAGAAAAAACTGATGGTGGAAATCAGAGCTGCCAGGAAAGGGGAAGGTGGATCTTCGGTGGTGAAGTCTGATCTTAATGGGTTAGAAACTTGGACCTTGAAGAGGCGGAAGGCGGCTGGTGTTAAGGAAACTTCGATCATGACTGAGCCACAGACTTCTGCTCCATCTATTCAGGAGGAGGTTTAACAAGACACTCTGAAAAAGCTGAAGACTCTTATGAGCGATGATGCTTGTCAGGCCGATTTGGAGATAACTTCTCTAATGAGAGAGTCAGGAGACAGTCAGGCGTTTGGAGAATTCAAGTTCTGGTCTAACAACTTTGATGGGCTCTGCTTCCTTTACGGCCATCTCAATGCCACTAAAGACGTCAATAAGGTCAAGACGATAGACCGATAGAAGATGACACATAACCTAAGCTCTTACCTTATGAGGTGTGCGGTTCTGACTCGTGGCTTTTTTTAGTCCAGTGATAACTGTGAGAGGACAGAGTTGAAGCTCAAGGAGGAGATAACCCGACTGAAGGAAGCCCAGAAGACTCAATCTGAGAAGTTATTCGGCTTGGAAAAGAGTTTGGCTAAAGAGAAGGAGCGGCGGGAGACTTTGAAGTTTAAGAGCAAGGCTTCTCTTACCCAGCTCAATGAGAGGCTGAGGTAGAGAAAGCCATAAATTATAAGGTGAAGGTTACTACCGACGAGCTGAGAGAGTCTCAAGAAATCTCAAGTGAATCTCTTATTTGCTGGTGACAAAGCCTTTGAACGGGCTAAGCACCAAATATTATGCCTTTATCCCAACTTGGATTTGGCAGAGATATATTACTTCAAGGTGGTGCATGATTGTCGCCTTGTGGATCTTGAGGAGGTAGAAAAGAATCTCTCTCCTCCGCCGAATCTTGAAGATCCTTCTGGCGAGAAGAACAACAATGATGGTGACGGGAACAAGGACCCGACTACATGATGGTGTTTTCTGTTTTGTGTTTCTGTTAATCATCCGATAAGGATACAATTATGTAATTTTATTTAAGGGGTGGTTTATTCTTCCTTTTTGTTATGATTATGACTTCTGCCTCTGGGCTTTATGTTTTAAACTGTCCTTTGTGGCTTATTTGCTCTTACTTGTTTGTTTGCATTTTTAGCTTTTATTATTTGCTTGTATTTTTGACTTTCTACAAATTGATCATGTGTATGTATCTAAGCCCCTCAAGCACAAAGTCCCCTGGGCTATATGTGTTCGATCATGTAGTGCTGGGCATTATTTAGTTTAAAGCCCTAGTATTTGGGGATTTGGGAGCTACGACAGTGGTGCGTATTGTCCCAAGAATGAATATCTTGCTGATCCCTCTGACGGAAGCCCCTTATATAGTCATCTTCAGTGTCATTAAAGAGTCTCAATCAAGGTATGACCCTTGGGCTTCGTAACTGTGTAATAACCGTTGTCACCTTGAATGAAGGTGTTCAAAGTTGTGTAACGTTGGAGTTAATGCGCCAGCGGCCGCTATGGTCATTAATGAGTCGGGTTAATGATCGACTGTGAGTAGATAGATTCGGGTTACAAGTGTTATCCGGGTTGGAGACGCAAGTGAGTTACTACCCGAAGATAATGATGATCGTTCAACATCTTTAGCCGAGTTGCACCTCCTTTCGGGTACCCCTCACTATTAAGGGCCGATCAGCAGTTTTACTCTCCTTTTTACCGACTTCATGATCCGATCGGGATTAATATTTCCAAGATGTATACTATTTAATCATTAATTAAAAAAATATCTTTTTATGTCATTTTATATTTATCACCTAATTAAACCGTTAATTTTATCAAAAACTTTAATTAATTTAGGAGCTACCACTCATCCGTCGTCAATTTAGGAACTATCATTTATCCATCATCAACTATAAACTATCAATCATTAGACATCAATCATAATCTATAAACTAACAACTAACTTATTACTTATCACCCAACTGATAATTTTACTGATAACTTCTTTCCTAATCAAAAGAGCTGTGACTTTGCGCAATAAAATTCCAGCCACAGAAACAAGCTTAGCTGCGGCATAATATTTGTTTGAATGCGCAGTTTTTGGAGGAAAAGCCACAACCATACCCTGCAACACCTCAATACAATATGCCGGAACTACAATCTAAGACACTCACATGATTTCAGTTCTCAAGTTCAACCTGCAAGCCAAACAGCACCCAAACCCCAAATCCTAGACACAGACCCACACATTGTGAAATGTACCAACTCAATTTCTACCCACATGCGCAATGGCTACTGCCACTTGGCTCTCCGTGTCTTCAATGCCATGCCTTACAGGAACTTGTTTTCCTGGAACTTAATGATTACTGGATATGTCAAAAACCGCAGACTCGGTGATGCCCGCAACTTGTTTGATTTAATGCCTCAAAGGGATATTGTTTCATGGAATACAATGTTGTCTGGTTATGTCCGGAGTGGATGTGTTGACGAGGCTAAATTAGTTTTTGATAGGATGCCTTATAAGGATTCAATCTCTTGGAATGGATTGCTTGCTGTGTATGTTCAGAATGGGAGACTTGAGGAGGCCCGTCGCTTGTTTGAGTCGAAGCGGGATTGGGAAGTGACTTCATGGAATTGTTTGATGGGTGGGTATGTGAAGAGGAAGATGTTAGATGATGCTAGGCAGATTTTTGATTATATGCCTGTTAGGGATGTAATCTCGTGGAATACCATGATTTCGGGTTATGCACGGGATGGAGATTTGTTGCAAGCTAGGAGATTGTTTGAGGAGTCTCCGGTACGGGATGTTTTCACGTGGACGGCTATGGTGTATGCTTATGTGCAGAATGGAATGTTGGATGAAGCGATAAGGATTTTTGATGAAATGCCGGGGAAAAGAGAGATGACTTACAATGTGATGATTGCTGGTTATGTGCAATGCAAGAAAATGGATATGGCAAGGGAACTGTTTGAGGCAATGCCTTGTCGGAATGTGGGTTCATGGAATATCATGATCAGCGGCTATGGTCAGAATGGCGATATTGCTCAAGCTAGGAAATTATTTGACATGATGCCTCAGTGTGATTGTGTATCTTGGGCGGCAATAATTGCTGGTTATGCTCAGACTGGTTACTATGAAGAAGCTATGGACATGCTTGTGGAGATGAAACGGGATGGAAAAAGTTTAAATAGATCTACTTTTTGTTGTGCTCTGAGCACATGTGCTGATATGGCTTCTTTGGTGTTAGGGAAACAAGTTCATGGGCAGGTGGTGAAGACAGGGCATGATAATGGATGTTTAGTGGGAAACGCACTTCTTGAAATGTATTGTAAATGTGGCAGCATAGGTGAAGCCTATGATGTGTTTGAAAGAATACAGAAGAAAGATATCATTTCTTGGAACTCAATGTTAGCTGGTTATGCTAGGCATGGATTTGGCAGACAGGCTTTATTGGTGTTTGATTCAATGAAGATAGCAGGTTTTAAACCAGACGAAATTACCATGGTATGTATTTGGTTTTTATTTATAAATAAATTCCATATGTTAGAATGAATGCTCCTTGTCAAATTGTGTTGGATGAACTATGGTCCTCAAAGCTTCATACTTCACTTCATTGTATTTCGTGTTGACATCACTGGTTTACAACTTAGTTTTCTGATTTAATTTTTCCTGGCTGTTATGGTCAAATAAGCTCCTCAGGGAAGCAAGAAATACCTGGGTTCCATCTTGTCTCTTGAATCCAAGGTCAATATATTTCCTGTGCAGGGAACACAAGCTTATTCTTTTCTAGTTGTCTGCTTATTGTGTCCTGCTAATTTCCTTTTGTTTATTACATAGTCGTTTATCCAAACGGAAGTTGACAGCGCTGTAATCCATGCTGTTAGGCATGTTATTGACCTAAATAATCGGGATAGATTATTTCAGAATAGTTGTTACTGACATGAATAACCTAGGCTACATTGAGGCTATATATGAAAGATACCTGTTAAGCTGTAAAAGTCGTAAAACGTTGTAAATAGATTCATGGAAACAGTCGTGAGATCCTCTGATTTAAGGGTTTGTTTAGGCCGTTATTTTGGATTTATTTCAGAATAAATTTATCTGAGCAAGATCTAAAGAAAGGAAAAAAAGAGAGAATAGATCAAGAAAGAAGAGAGAAAGTGAAGAGAAACTGAAAATGCATCAAATGACTCTTCCTTGTTAAAGATAATATATTACATTAGTATTTATACTACTTGACTATATTACTGATTTTTTTTTAAACATCTGAGGAGCTTAACTAACTATCAAGCAGAGTTGTTAATAGCGCCCGTAGCGGCCGCTATAGCGGCGCTCCAGAGCGGAGCGGAGGCCTGCCGCGCGCGCACAAGGGTGCGGTGGCGAAGAGAAGATAGAGGGCGCTATCGCCGCTATCCCGGGTCGCGGATAGCGGGCGCCTCCCGGGCGGAGCGGTTTGGCCTGTTTTTTTTTATAATTTTTTTTGTTGACAAAATTGCTGTTTTACCCCTCTTTTAAAATACTTTTTAAAACAGATTTGCATTATATTTTCTTTCCTTCATTTCACTTTCTCACTTTCTTCTTCTGCCCTAATTTTTGTGCGCCCTTCTTCCACCGTTCTAGTTCCAGCAAGGCAGCAACATACAACTGCAGTCCGCATCTTCTCTACCGTTCCAGGCTTCCAGCAAGGCAGCAACAGCACCATACACCGTTCCAGCAAGTACATCTTCTCCAATCTCCACCGTTCCATCTTCTTCTACTTTTGTCTCACATCTCTGCCGTTCGCAAGCCCTCTTTCATAGATTATTATAATATAATTATTAGTATATAAAAGGTTATCCCGCTATCCGGGATCCCGCTATTCCCACTTTTCCCATTCCCGGGGGTCGGCCGCTCCGCTCTGCTATCCGGGATTAATAACTCTGCTATCAAGCAGTGGCGGAGCCAGAAATATTATAAAGCCTGGGCGAAAAATTAAAGATCGCAAATTCACATTGTATATAATATATAAATACTCATCAATCAAAATAACAGAGACTCGCCATTTTGTCCACAAAAATATAATTTAAAATAAAAGAGACAAATATAACCTTACAATAGCGGGTTAAATAAAATTACGAGGCAAATGTCCTTTCCGAGACTTTTTTGCGGTGAATGTTCGAATAATATCAATATCATTAAGTGATTTGAATATCTCCCGCTCAGTGTAACATACCATCAAGTCATTGAACCACACATCATTGATCTTATTGCGCAATTTAGACTTGATAATCTTCATTGCTGAAAAAGCTCTTTCAACGGATGCTGTCGACACCGGCAATATCAAAGCTAACTCAATAAGTTTATAAACCAATGGAAATACTAAATGTTTCTCAGTTTGAACCATCTTCATAGCCAAACTTTGAACATCTTCACAAGTGGAAAATGAAGCATTTCTTCTCACTTGAAGAACATAAGTCTCAAGTTGATCCCTTATTGTTCCTCGGTCATCATCAAAAAAGTCTACACGATAAATATCCGCAAGACGAGCAAGCTTATCAACATTAAACTTGGAGAAAGAGTTTTTGGGATCAAGACATGAAAAACAATTAAGGATAATGTTACTTTCTTCACTAAAGCGATGATCCATCTCCACACATATTTTGTCAATAGCAACATAAAAAATCTCTGCACGGTTATGATGAAGATTAGTGACAGCCCTCCCTTCTACCCTTGAACGACCCCGAACCGGTATTTCATCATCCATATTTGGAACTGGAATACCTTTAGCAACACAAAAATCTTGTACATCAGAAAATAAATTATCCCAACCACTCTCTCTCGTTGTGGCCAATCGAGCTTTGACATCATCAACTAATTCCATGGCAATCACAATATTAAGATCTTTTCTTTGCAAGACATTTGAAAGCTCGTTTGTGATACCAAACAACTTTAACATTAATTTCAAAATGAAAGCAAATTTAAAGCTCTCCATTTTTTCTATCAAACTCGCTGCTTGAGATGGTCCACGTCCATCTTCATCAACCATACTAAGCACCTTTAACACAGAGGGCCACATTTGATCCAAACGAAGCAATGTAGTATGATGTGAACCCCATCTAGTATCCCCAGGTCTTGTGAGATTAGATGATTGGTGCAAGCCCTTTCCTCTAGATATCTCACCACTCTCAAGTTTATTTAAAATATCTTGGTGTTGTGCCTCTATCAAAGCATCCCTCCTCTTACAAGATGCACTTGTTGTGGTCACAATCAAGGAGATGTACTCAAAGAAATCATGAATAGATGAGCAACTACTAGTAACAGACACAACAACTAATTGCAAGCGGTGAGCATAACAATGAACATAGAAAGCATAAGGATTTTCATCTAAAATTTTTCTTTGCAAACCATTAAATTCAACTCTCATATTTGAAGCTCCATCATATCCTTGCCCTCGTATCCTTGAAATCGATAACGTGTACTTATCAAGAATACCATAAAGAGCATTCTTTAATGACTCAGATGTAGTATCTTTGACATGATGTAGAGAAATAAATCGTTCCACAACATTTCCTTTGTCATTCAAAAACCTGAAATAAATTCAACAAGTTTACTTGGCGGCATAAAAAATAATAGGTCATGAAAATTAGAAAATACAACTACTAACACAGGCGGATACAGCATACGGCCAGCTTGGGCAAATGCCCAGGCTCAACGGCCCAATTTTTTTTAGTACCCAGCCCAATTTTTTTTTAGTATTAAATAAAATTAAAAGAAAAAGAAAAAATAGTGAAAGTTAGAATTGGAAAAACCTAAAATTAGGAAAACCTACAGAGAAAAAAAACTGCCTGCCGCTGCTCACTTTTCTTCATCCTGTTCAATCTGTGTTCTTCTATCTGTTTAATCCTTGTGCAATCTATCATCATTCCTATAGGCTATATTATTTCTACAGGCTATATAGCAGGTAATATAAATTTGATTATTAAATAGTAGATGCAATGTGTGTTCTCTTTCTTTCTATATAATATAAATATACTAGAAACTATATGTGTTTTATAAAATACTATTTGGTATGTTATGTTTGTCACAGAGATAATCTAGATTACTAATATGTTGGCATAATATTAGATAGACACATATATAATTCTTGTCTTTTTGTACTTTTAGATAGACATACATGATACATAGACACATGTATGCTTAAATGCTTTGTATTTTTAAGCCACTAAATTAGTACAAAATTGAATTGATATGATCATGATACATAGACACATGTATGCTTAAATACTATTGAATTGTATTTTGTACTAATTTAGTGGCTTAAAAATACAAAGCATTTAAGCATACATGTGTCTATGTATCATGTATGTCTATCTAAAAGTACAAAAAGACAAGAATTATATGTGTCTATCTAATACTATGCCAACATATTAGTAATCTAGATTATCTCTGTGACAAACATAACATACCAAATAGTATTTTATAAAACACATATAGTTTCTAGTATATTTATATCATATAGAAAGAAAGAGAACACATATTGCATCTACTATTTAATAACCAAATTTATATTACCTGCTATATAGCCTGTAGAAATAATATAGTCTATAGGAATGATGATAGATTGCACAAGGATTAAACAGATAGAAGAACACAGATTGAACAGGATGAAGAAAAGTGAGCAGCGGCAGACAGTTTTTTTTCTCTGTAGGTTTTCCTAATTTTAGGTTTTTCCAATTCTAACTTTCACTATTTTTTCTTTTTCTTTTAATTTTATTTAATACTAAAAAAAAATTAGGCTGGGTACTAAAAAAAATTGGGCCGTTGAACCTGGACATTTACCCAAACTGGCCGTATGCTGTATCCGCCTGTGCTATCAAGTCTTAGCTGATAACTAATTGCCATTCCGTACATAGAATTTTGACTGATTTAGTTTCTTTTGTTTTCCTTTGAATATATATTAATTACAAGTTAATGAGAATAATTCAGATTTCTTCTCATATTTTATTTCATCACAACATTATTACAAATTTGTTGGTTTTGGTAGAACAAGATATCACCACTTGTCTCAGTTGTCTGACATTATGCAAATAAATAATGTTGAATTCCCTTATTTAGCTCTGAAGGTCTATGCTTTTAAATTTGTTGAGCACGGAATATTTTATTAAGGGTAACACAAAATCAAGAAAACGGAGAGTAGACGATATATTTCTTTAAGCTTTCTTTTTCAGGTTAGAGACAGGAATAAATAACATTTTACAAGGGGCTCTTTGGTTTAGAAGTGGAATGTGGTAGCGTCTGTATTCACACAGTATTGTTAAATATCCGGTATACCGGTATTGCATATTAGAATTTTGGCTATCCGATACGAAAGCCGGTATAATATTTCTATTTCGCGATGCTCGCGATATCGGCGATTTTCCGATATACCTGTATACCGGTTATGAATGGAATGTCAGAAGTCATATTTTTATTATTATTTTTTATAATAAATCATTTTTAAAAACGTTAAAGAGAGTAAGGTGAAGAGATGGAAAAGTAGAAACATTAAAGAGGGTAAGATGAAGAGGTGGAAAAGTAGAATATAGAAACATTGAAAAAGGAAAATGTGGGCTCTTGAGTCGGTGTCTAGTATTATATTCTCTCCGGTCCTTTTTATAAGAGACACTTCACCTTTTTAGATTCATTAGATATATTAATTATTTAATAAATCTAGAAAGGTGAAGTGTCTCCTATAAAAAGAACCGGAGGGAGTATATCCTTATTCATTCTTTCTCTTTTTTCATACCGAAGAAGCTACCCTTGTTGAAGGGTCTAGAGAACTTCATCAATAATTTTACTTTTCTATTATAGTTTCTTTCTAGTTTCTACAACTTGTATAGTGAATTATAAATTTTAACGTTACAAAATTCATTCTAAGAAAATGAATAGGTTAGAGCATAAGAGACTACACAACTTGGTGTATGTCAAATATAATGAAGCTTTACTCCGGAGATATAGGGATGAAATTGATCCAATTTCACTTGGAGACATAGAAGACTCGTGTAACGAGTGGCTGGTTGGGATGATGGATGGTGATGAAGTTGATGCTGGGAATGTAAGAGTCTTTGAGGATGAGAATGATGAGGATGCCCTTAATTGGGAAGCTGTTTACAGAGCTTCCGGAGTTAGAGAGCCTACAAGATATACTAGGCAAACAACTAAAAATAGAAAAGAAACTCTAAACCCTAATGTTATTGGCACTTCATCTAAAACAAAGAGAAGTCGGCTGGTTCTTCATCTAGGAAGGGAAAGCAACAAGTGATTGAAGTGGATGGTTCTTCATCTAGGAAGGGAAAGCAACAAGTGATTGAAGTGGAAGATCCTGTCATCAAAGAATCAGAAGCAGTATTTGAGGATATTGATTCAGATGATTCAATTGAAGAAGTTGAAGGATATGTCTAACTATCTTAAAAGGAAAATAATGATTATGTTGGGGAAGCAGAAAAGGAGAATAGTTAAATCTTTTATCATTAGTTAGACTTAGAAGAACTACTAGTTATTAGTTTGAACTATTTAATTTTTTGAGTTTTAATTCCTTTTAAATTTATGGCGGTAGCTTTTCTGTTTTAATTGGATTTGAAATATTTAATTTTAAATTTTCAACTTTTTGAGTTTTTATTTCTGTTTTAACCGCTTTGCGGCTTCTGATATTTGCCTGCTACGCGATCCGATATTTCTCATATCGGTTTTTTGGTATTCCGATATTTTCTGATATTGATATTTGCCAACACTGTATTCACATTTCTTTTCTTGTATCTTTGTAATACTGTGCTAGCGACTGGGGTTTTTTTCAATGAAATATGCATTCTTTCCATCAATTCTGATTGAGATCTATCACAGTATCACTTTCCTCCTCTTCGTAGTTTTACCATATGTGAATAGACTGCATGCCTGCTTTTTTTCCCTTGCTCTTGACTTTTGTCATTATATTTGACATATATAGGAAAATTCAGTCAGAAATACTCGATGTGCGTAATGCAGGCAAGAAGTTCAATTGCTAAGGATAATGTTATTTGTTACTGAATCACTTAGCTTTATTTCTCTAACAAGTTTTAAATATGCGTTCCCTGCATCGATTAGAGTACTGCATTTTACACTTTGTTTTCCTCCTCGGTTTGGTATTTTCATTTCTAAAGTAACCCCATTACTTTGTTAAAGTTTTCTTTGCAATGTGTAAAATGCAAATGAGCTAATAGCTGTGTAATCATAAACAAATATGATCACATAACAAAATATTGACAAATAAACTAGGATTGATTGAGGTGTCCATATTATCATTTTACCTATACAATGCCTTTTGACTCTTATCTAGATGTAACTTCATTCTACCTATTCTTTCTCTAAAATAATTTTTCATGTTTCAGGTTGGCGTTCTTTCCGCCTGCAGTCATACTGGCATGACTGATAGAGGAACTGAATATTTTGATGCAATGAATAAAGATTATGGTATAACACCAAATCCAAGACATTATAATTGCATGATTGATCTTCTTGGTAGAGCTGGCCGCCTGGAAGAAGCACATAACTTATTAAAAAACATGCCTTTTGAGCCAGATGCTGCAAGCTGGGGAGCTCTACTAGGTTCAAGCCAGATTCATGGCTATACTGAACTGGGTGAGAAGGCTGCTGAGATGCTTTTTAATATGGAACCCCATAACGCGGGAATGTATGTCCTTCTTTCAAATTTATATGCAGGTTTAGGCAAATGGGTTGAAGTTGGCAAGCTTAGATTAAAAATGAGGCAACTTGGTATTCAGAAAATACCCGGGTATAGTTGGGTTGAGGTCCAAAACAAGATTCATACATTCACAGTTGGTGATTGTTTGCATCCAGAAAAGGATAGAATATATGCTTACTTAGAAGAATTAGATCTAAAACTGACGCAAGAGGGGCATGTTCCTTTGGTAAAATTGGTTCTGCATGATGTGGAAGAGGAAGAGAAGAAGCGAATGCTCAAGTATCACAGTGAAAAATTAGCTGTGGCATTTGGAATTTTGACCATACCCTCTGGTAGACCAATACGTGTCATGAAAAACTTGCGAATGTGTGAAGACTGTCATAATGCCATCAAGCACATATCCAAAATTATTGGAAGATTGATAATCTTAAGGGATTCTCATCGCTTTCATTACTTCAGTGAGGGTATTTGTTCTTGTGAGGATTATTGGTGAGTGGAGAAATATGGTAAAAATTAACCCAAATAATATGCAAGTATAGATTTTAAATTCGGAGATGTATATCGTCTACCTGGCGTACCACTATGAGAAGGGGCCAGTTGATTTGGTAATGGTAAATCAATATTATTCTGGTCTGAGTGATAGTTGCCATCTGGGAATATTGTTTTGAAATAATCTCCCGCAGCCTATTCCGGAAGAATGGGTGCTTGCTTTTGTGCATGATTTTGTGAAAGCTGAGGTTCAGTGGGATGTTTGCCGTCTCCTGGATTTTATCCCTAAGTTGGTTATTGAAGGAGATTATACTTATAGTGTGCTTGTGCCTCCTTTGGATAGGTTGGAGGAAGACCATTTTGTGCAGAACTTTACTCTAGATGGCATTTTTAGCACGAAATCTTCCTGCCAACTGGTTCTAGGTCATGTTAATCAGGTGCATGATGATCTAGTTTGGAAGAAGCTTAGGCACTGGAATGGCCATCCTATAGAGAGAATGTTTCTGTCGAAAAATCTGCATCATGGCCTTCCAACAAATTTGCTCAGAGCTCTTGGATGCATGACTGATGGTAACCTCTGTCCTTTATGTGCTCAGTGCTGGTGGCGACTGGCGAGGAATTGGAGAATGCATCTTCAAGATTGCAGGGTGGTTAATGCTAAAAGATTTGATCTCTAATGTTGATATACACATACTGATAAAAAGCATGAGTAAAAACACATTTGGTGTTGTAAGAAAAAGAAATCATTGCACTGTATTTCTATTATTATGTTGGAGTCTATGTGGAGCTACAATATAAAACTGATAATATACTATTGGACTATGCAAATGGATCAGAATTTTCTTTAGATATATTATTTTCATGATATGATGAGAATAGTATATGACTCATATCATAAATTAGAATTCTCTTGTCAACTGTAAGTACCTGGTACGAGAATAGCACGGCATTTTTTGAAAAATTAAGGTTAGTATAATTTTTTTAAATATAATTATAAAAATAATAAAAAAGAATTATATTGTTCAAAAGATAAATAAAAATTTGTTCAAATGATGTCAAAACATTAAAATTAAAAAATAATTTGTTCAAAATTAATTAAGATCTATTAAATATCTGAATCACACTTGAAAAGTGTCAATAATCCATAGAATCAAATGTTGAAACTTAAAAGTTGCATAGTAATGCCAAACTATATAAATTTGACATTTTACTTCTCTTTTATAAAAAAATTAAAATTTAATCCACAAAAAAATTTGGAATTGTACAAACCGATAAAAAAACGATATTTTTTTGTGAGTTCATATACTCGCAAAGTCTCATAATAAATATTTTCTTTAAGATTTTCACATCTTTTAAAACAATAATTAATTATGTTAATTTTAATAATAAAATAAATTTTATTTTTTTAAATAATTTTATTAATAATACATAATAAAATAGTTATATGAATTAAAATATAATAAATAAAGATATTTTAGTAAAAATAAATAATAAATATTATATTAATATTTTAAAAGAACAAATAATTTGAGAAAAAAAATAGAAAAAAGGACATCTATTATAAAAGAGAGTATCAATTTCGTGTACTTTGGCTAAAAGTGTGTCTCAGTGATTTATTACTACTATAATGAACCCATTGGAGATTTAATTTGTCTAAATCTATTATTTAACTAAAATTTAACAATCATAAAAAAAATTTAAAGATAGTGTACTCAAATATAAAATAATTTTACACATACAACTAATCAAAGTTTTTACATTTGTTATATTATTACAGTATTTTAAAAATAAAAATTAAATTTATTATAATATATATTTTTTATTAAATGATAGTATAAAAATATTTTACATTATCAATGTATTTTATTTTTTCTCATATATATATATATATATATATATATATATATATATATATATATATATATATATATATATATATATATATATATATATATATATATATATATATATATATATATATATATATATATATATATATGTGTGTGGATTAAAATAGATATCTAAGAATTAAAATTTGTTTTATTTTCTATAACTTATTTAAAAAAGTCATTTAGTAATTAAAAAATACAATTCTAAAAGTATAATTGAATCATTTTATTATAGATTAAACAAAGCACAAAAAGTATCAAAATAATAGAATTAATATTTGTTGAGTAATTAATTTAAACACATTTAGAAGCAAAACATTATTACACGTATAAACACTCCAACTCAGATGATATACTATGGGACACCAAAATAGAATTTGAAGGGACTTTGGCATTTGTAACGAACAGTTATCCAAGAAACAGAGAAGTCAAAATAACAATAGCAAGTTCATCTTCCAAACGAAAACGCTTCATACGAAGACAATCTTTTTCAGTTGGCGGTGAAGATGAGCACAAAAGAGAAAGTTGTGCTTGTTACCGGGTAAGGATTATGATTCGAGAAAACATTTGTTTTGACTGTGAAATCTTAAAAACTGTTACAAATTGATAAAGATTCTTAAAGATTCGTTAAATACTTTATTTAATCGTAGAGGTAGAGAGAATCAATACAGGTTGTTAGCGGCATGCATGGTGTATAAACACTGTGTGTTGCATGTTGTTATTTGTTGCAGATCTGAAAAACTGAAGCAACGATATTTTGACGAAAATGAGCGTCAACAGTTATACCATTGTTATCTGGATCATGAGGAAGAATGTTTGCTCCGAAAAAAAAGATCAGGAAAATGTTTACTTATGAAGAATTTTGTGTAGAGGTGCTGGGAGCGTGTGATGTGGGAGGTGAAAATGAACTTGAAGCCAAGGAAGATGCTAAGTAGGACACTCAACGTGTTGTTGCAGACCCATTCAAAGGGAATGTGCCGGCATCGGCTGATGAAGGAAGTAAACATGACGTTGGACTAAAGGAACCTGCCAAGGAGTGTACCGAAAGTCCTGATGTTCAGACAGATAAAGGGAAAAGGATTGCAATCCATGTTCATTCTCACATATCAATATCATATGACACTCCAAGGTAAAGTGTTTTAGTTTCTATAATTACGACATACTGAAACGCATAGTTGAAGTAGTATTTAGTGTTTTTGTTGTTCAATTTATTGAGCGATTGAAAGAAATAGAAACATTGAAACAGATCACCGTTAGCGAATTATTAGTATCTTGCATCTTATGAAAATGTAGTGCGGTAGAGAGGTTTTTAGAAGATTCTGAAGTTGGTAATTCCCGTCCCTGAAATGTGTGGAAATGGACCAGACGAGTCAATGATGCAAGAAAAATCAGGAAAAACGTGTTTGTAAGTTGCAGATTACATAATTTATACATATAAATGATGTATGTAAAATGATTTAGTAAACATATTTTTTTATGTCATTGTGCAGCAATTTCCGGCTGCCATTATAAAATAGTATTTTACGGAGCCACAAGGTTTGTAACGCCCGGAATTTAATTAATTATTTAATTAAATTATTTTTGGAATATTTGAGAAGATGCGTTGTGATTATTGAATTTAATTATTTTACTAAGTGGTGAAATAATATTAGAAGTATAATATTATTTGATGTGGGCTTGTTTTTAAAGAATAGAAGTAATAAAGGGGGTGTATTAGTTTTGAGCCCAATAAGTATTTAAGAGAATAATAGATTATTTTATTGTTGTTAGAAAGAATAGAAAGAAGATGCAGTAGAAGAATAAGGATTGAGAAGAAGAACGTGAAGCTGCTGGAAAAAGAGGAAAACGGCAGAACGAGGTTTTAACCGGAAGTTATAGAGCGACCCTCAATCCAAGGTAAGAGTGGGGTTTTGACTCTAAAAATTGGGTTCATGATGATTGGTATGTGGGGTTAGAGGTGATTGTTGTCTTGTTCTTGAATGGAATGTTTATGATGTTGTATGATGTGAAATTGATGAATTTTAGATGAATAATGATGTCCTGATGTTGTTTGATCGATGTAGAATTATAGGATAATTATAAGTGATGATTTTCCATGATGAGATTAAGTTTTTAGGGCTTAAAATATGAAATCTGTAGTGAAAACGCAGAGAAAATCGCAGAATTTATGCAGGATGTAACAGGATGCTTCGACCTCAAATAGGATGTGTCGATACAAGAAGGTTGAGAGACTCAGTATGAGTCGACACGAAGAGGTTTTGCGTCGATACATGAGTGCTTTTAGACTCAAGATGAGTCGATCCATAGGAGCATGTGTCGATACATACTATGTGTTTGAGTTAGGACGAGTCGATCCAAGAGAGGATGTGTCGACTCATATTGCAAATTCAGTGCAGTACGCGTCGATCCAAGGAGTTATGCGTCGACCCATGTTGTCTGGTTTTTAGCAGATTCAGTTTATAAATGTTGTAGCTTGAGTTTTAGGATGCCGTTTGAGATGTCGTTCGAAGCGTTGAATAGCTAATGCGATGAACTTTATTCTAGAGGATTAAAATGAAGAATAGGAAGTGTAATCCTAGTAGCCAATTTAGGATTTAGAGTTAGTTCCCATGTTGATCGTTATGTTGGTTTTTATGCAAAATGATGAGGATGAAATGTTTAGGCTGCTCTTTGATTTGTAACAGTAGGAGTAATGATAGTAATGATGTAAGATTACAAAATAGCATTATGAATTACTGTCGTATTAATGTACAACTGAGTTGTTGATGAGTTGTTATTAATGATGTTGTGTTGATAATTTATGATGAATAAATGATGTTTGATGAATTATTACGATGACATGAGATTGTTGATGAAGAGATGTTGAGATGCTTTTGAGATGTAGGCCTTTGACCAACGATGATGATGTATTGAGATGTTGTTAATTGTAGTATTGTTATTACATTCATGATTGTGTCGCATGCATTGCATTTTGAGATGGAGCTTATGCTCGTTGAGATGGCCTGTATTGGCGGATATTGAGATGAAGGCTTATGCCTTGTTGATGCCTCTATTAATTGGAAAAAATTTTAGATGGGAGTTCTTCTCCAAATGGTACCACATGAATTTGCATAGTATTGAGTCGCATTATATGACTGCATAAAGAAGGGTGTATTGATGTGGTGAATGTGTATTATTATTGTTGATTATGAGATGAGAAGTGGTGATGTTATGTGATCTAATTCAATATATTAATTATCATGCGCTTTATTATATTGTTAGATATCTCACCCCTTTTGTTTGAATGTTGCCCTTATGTTGGTAACGTGCAGGTAATCGAGAGTGAAGGCTGTATACCTTCAATAGTTGAGTCGGTGTCATTGCTCTGATATGTAACACTCGGGGGGATGAACGCTTGTTGCTTTTGATTGTTGATTAATTTCGTCATTGAACTTTAAGTTGATTATTATTAAATTGTGTTGTTTCAAAGTTGTTATAATGATGATAAAGATGTTATTAAGAATTTCGTTGCGTAGATGTTGAATTATTTAATCAAAGATATTATGATGATGGTTCATCCGATGTTTTAAAGGTGTTATATATCCACGATGAATGCAATGAATTTTGATAGAAGAATTTGTGGCATCCCGATTCGTTTGCATGAATGATTTTTATAACTCTGATTTATTTATATAATTTTTCGGGATAGAATTGGGTGTTACAAAGTTGGTATCAGAGCAATAGGTTGGTCCGACCTTGTTGTCGAGTCGTAATTGTCTAACAATCGAGTATTGTTAATTCGAGTTCTA